TTATCACCATAAAAAACATCAACCAGTTTAAATAAACTATAACAGAACTGCAAGCAACTGATGTCCTTGACTTTACCGGATGCGTACAGTGTTCTAGACAACTCCAGCTTCTTGTCCATTTGCTTACAACAAGATAGTAGCTAGAAGAATATACTCCAGAAGTTTAAAGTTGTTCCAGCAAGAAATAAGGATGCTGTGGCCTCTGAAAGTCAATGGCACATAATATGACTATAATGACAAGTATAAAATCTAGCTCTAAAAGGATTTCAAACAATTCTATTGAGGTAAAATGACTTGATTAATGATCCTGAGTGTGGAATCTGTAGAAAAAAGGAACAGAACAGTCAAAATATGGCATGAAAGAATGGACCATGCAGGCTGAATCTACATTATGGATGCAACTGTCGTTCTAGACAACAGTATCAAAACGAAACTTTGCATACACAAAGATCTACTGATAGGCCAATTGCATACCTAATTTTGAGCTGTTCTGGCCAGTCCCAGTACTATTATATACCTAGATAGTGTACACCATTTTCCAAACAGCGACAATAACAAGCAAAATATACTTACATTTCAGACTGAAAACTAACCAATTGATTATATACCTTTTTGCTTCAAGTTTGAATTTGCTTCTTAGAGCTATAGACTACCCACCATCTTGTAAACTGCACAAAACTAAACACAGCTTTAGCCATCACTTGGCAGCCATTATGACGTCACTTGGAAAATAAAATTCACGTGAGCTTACCGCTGGCGTCGCGACTGTGTAGGGGCCCCATCAAAGTTTTTGTCCTGGACCCCACATAGCCTATTGGCAGCCCTCCCTGTAACAATAAACTATGGACTATAGTCCATGCTTTTTCCCAAAAATGGCTTGAAATTATTACCAATTTTTGTTACATTTAAAAAGTTAAAGTCAATTCCAACTAAAATTTTTGAGTCATGTCCATTTAAACAAATGAACCAATTAATATTATTACATCTCATTGTTTTTATTGTATTTTAGGAGTTTAACGAGAGCTTTGCTGATAATGATTAAATTATGAAATGAAGATCAAAAGTAAATATACATATGTACATGTACATGTAATCCTTTATCTCCATGTCTCTCACTATTTAGAGTGTTGATAGAAAATATGTGTTTCATTTACCCGACACATTCCCAGAGACTCAAAGTATCTTGAGGTACGTTATTCCACTCGTCATCCTGCCCCTCCCCCACCTCCTCTGGTCTCTCGTACAGCTGTGTGTTTGGTACCAATACAACAAGGTTAGGACACACAGTCAGTGTATGTACATGTACATGTTTGTCCTTTTATGATTTGACAAATTTTAGTAACTTTAAAAATTTATTAAAAAATTAATTTTGATCGCAATGAGCTCAAACTTCCACACAACATGAAAACATGTGATATCAGAAATTATAAGAGTAACAGGGGCGGATCTAGGGGGGGGTTTGTGGGGTTGCAAACCCCCCCATAACATTTTACACTTATAAGTGTAAAAATTGTCCTAAGATTGATTTCACCACCTTGCGCGCATAGTAGGCATTTATTTCTTCTTACTAAGACTTATAAAAGTTCTTTCTACCTTCTAGTGATTCTTGAAAAGTCTTTAGGCATCATCTTTGCTTTATTCTTCTTGCTAGAAAGCTATAACTTTGTTCTGCTTCCGAGCCGCCATTTTGTTTACCGTGGCCACACTCACTTACGTGAGGGGGCTGGGTAGAGCGTTGCTAAGTGAGTCATAATTGTTATTTCTCCAATACAACGTGTATAGAAGACAAGAAGAAATGTAAGTGTTGACATACAATCAATTATTTTACATCATGGGGGCTGAATTCAATCTTAGGAACGACCTTGGGGCTTTGCCCCAAGGTCGTAAAAATTATAATAGTAAAGAATTCTCAATGAATCATTTTTGATGAAATTGTTTCCATATTTTCATTACACTTTTTGATACAAATTGATTTATACTTACATGATAAGTACACGATACAGGCGCTGCCTTCACTGGTGTAGCTGGAGTGCATAGCTGAGCTGATTTCAACTTTAATTTTTTGAGTTACGGCCATTTTAATAAAATCTTAAAATTTTGAGAAATACCCAAGACTATAGCCCATGAATTTTTCCAAAAAACAGCTCCGAAATTACTCCAATAAAACCCTCCAATCAATAGAGGAGGAGCTACTGCATGATCCTAACCAGCAGTCATTAATTAAACACCTGGAGACACTACTGTGAGTAGCTGGGGCATGTACATGTATTAAATAATGAGGAGTATACATGTATACTATGTCCCAACTGAGTTTGGACCAAGAAAAACTGGAATAACTTTTTATAGAAAAGTGGGATAAGGATGAGACTTTCACAGGTTCTTAGTCGCCCAATGCCGCTTCAGGATCTCAGGTTTTGGGTCTCTCAGCCTTTGGGAACCCTGAGAACCGGGTTCTCCCTATAAACCCAATGGCATACCAAAGCTAACCGTATAGACCTTCCTCACGCGTGGGTGGGCGCTTGTTTGCTCATGAATAATAAATGAGCTTGTCTACCGGAAGTTAATTTACCACGCCTACTGGTGGGAAAGCTAGCAAAGCGCGATGTACTGCTGCTACTGCAGCAGTTATCTTTAATATCTTATC